CACACACACACACATACACACACACACTAACGCTCTCACACACACATACACAGACCCAAACACACAAGCACACACATGCACACAAACAAACAAAAAACAAACAAGCACACACATCACGTATATGTAGAATTGCTTACTTTGAGTTCATCCACTTCGTTCCTGAGAGTCTCCACCGTCTTGTCCAGTTTCTTCTTCCTGGAGTACAATAGCCGGAGCTTGACATGTTCGTGGTCAATGACCGCCATGACTAGACCTGGTGTACATAACAAGGAAAGGGGGAAGGGGATGGGGGAAGGGTTGAGGTGGTGTACTCATGAGGATGATAATTTACTGGTCAATTTGGTGGATTTTGCGCTTTATTCACGCATTGTGTGACCTAAGCCTAGTTCAGACATTCTCTCTGCTTCAGACCATGGCGTAGACTGAGCAACCACCCTCCCCCCAAACACACGCGCGCATAATACGCACTGGTTTTTCTTTAATGAAGCTTGCCTTATTGTTATGATGTGACTGGGCGACAGATTGTTGTGTGTGTACACTTGAATAAAGTTTTGGGCTGGTTATCATTCACTGATGTCTTATTTCTTGTGTACACCTGTTTTTGAATCTATAGCTTGTTCATATTCGTCTACCGGCATAAAACTATTCTAGCTCTTTTATTAATCTATCTAGGCGCATGATAACACTTAAGGTGCGCATCACCAAACCTTTATTCATTCGGAAACCCCTCTGACCACCAGCAAATAACACGCCTGAAAATCAATGCCATGGACGCTGACCAGTGTGCCCAACTGATAAAGAGAAATATACTCAACCTAAGGCACTGGAGCAGTCTGAAAGAGGAATTTACGAAGAAGGACATTACCACTGAACAGTTTGTCAAGAGAATGAGTGTCAAATTGCTCCATTAAAAATGTTTTATCTCAGCCCTCACTGATTTGTATTCCTAATCCTGTTTAATCATTGATATCCAACATAAAATGATAATTATATACCCTCTTTGAAGTCCTATTCCTATCTCTGCATGGTGAGCAAGGGTAACTATAGCACAGTACTTCAAATTAAAAACACATGCACACTCAAGCAATGCTCAGAGATGTGAATGATAATTTACCATTTTTGATACCCTACTTCTGTCATTTTAGAAACTATTTGAACACAAAGGGGGGATCAAACTTTCAGCACGTAGGGCTATGACGTCATGGGGGCGAATTGCATTGCGTCGTCTATCTACTAGACACATCTGTTATATAATTATTGCCAGTTCTTTGATAGTCTTTATGAAAAAGTTTGCTTAAGAAATTAACATGCATTAAAAATATCTAGCTACTTCAAATTAGATATTATCATTCTTCAGATCACCCAAATGAACTCACAAAATCACTCAACAAACATAATACTCTCACACACACAGCATGGCATTACAAGTTGGCTCTCGACACCCGCAAGAAGCACAAGCCATTACGTCAATTAGTGCTCCAATTTAGTTGTTCGTTTATCCAGTAACTGATCTGAAAATCACTGATCTGAAAATCCTTTCTAATCTTTCCTGTTTTAAAGTTATAATCGTATAGCACAGATTGTGTACAACTGTCAGATAATTAGATCTGGTCGAGTGTATCCTCCTCAACTTTACAGGATTTTTCTTCGTGTTTATCTTTCCACGAATGTGTGTGTGTGTATGTGTGTGTGTGTGTGTGTGTGTGTGTGTGTGTGTGTATGTGTGTGTGTTTGTGTGTGTGTGATATTATATATATAATATGTATATATATATATATATATATATATATATATATATATATATATATATATATATATATATGAAGAGAGAGAGAAAGAGAAATATAAGAAAGAAAGAAAGAAAGGATGAAAGAAGGAAAGAAAGTAAGAAAGAAAAATAAAAACAAAGAAGGAAAGCATGAAAGGAAGAAAGAATGAAAAAGTCGGAAAGAAAAGAAGAAAACCAGATAAAAAGAAAAATTGCTGTTTTTAGTCTCTGTTGCCATAGTCACGAGATAGATCGGACAACTGTGCACACAGAGCTGGACCCCAGGATAATACTGTGTGACAGGGCTCCAGATAATACTGAGAAGTGAGGTGTACCTCCAGCACAGAGCTTCCGTGAGATCACTACATGTATTTAGAACGGTGTAACATTCTTACATTACATCGCCTTTGCTAGTCACAGAAGGCACGGGTCTTCAAAATGCGATGCTTGGGTGAAAATATCGATTTTCAACTTTTTACATTTTTGAGAACCTGAATATCTTTGGATTTCTATTTCTGCTTGTGTGTTCTTCTATACTATACGCCGTGTTGAGCTACAGCAGGAATGCAAAACCGTATAATCTGTATACCTATATTAGATGGGCACGTATTAAAGATGACATCATTTTCCCATTTTGGAAGGCGTGTGTTTACTATCTATGCTTCGTTTCTTCTCTTTTTCTTGGAACTTAACAATTATCCAAATTTCTTTTCCTTCAATATAAGTTTTCTTTAGTATCTATTTAGAGCGTTATACTTCACCATATATGCTTTTGTCTGTCTTCTCTTTTCCATTACTTTTAAAATTCCATGGGTCATCCTTTTTTTTAATAACTTTGTGAGAGTTTTGGAACATGTTTTCTTCCACAATGTCCTTTATTGAATTCTATAATATTGTATTCATGTCCTTTCTATGGCGTCGGTGGCCTAGTGGTTAGGCTCTCGGACTCGCAACCGTAAGGTCGTGGGTTCGAATCCCGTCATGGGTCCGACGTTGTGCCCTTGGAAAAGGCACTTTACACGAATTTCCCTCACTTCACCCAGGTGGGAATGAGTACCCGGCTATAGACAGTGAAAGATCTTGTCAGTTTGTTAGTGTTTGAGCGCTTAATCAGCTCCTTGCACGGTGTGCTTCCCGGGAAGCTGAGAATGCTTCAGGGTGTTCTATGGTCTGCTGGGGTAATAATATAGTGTAAAGCACATAGAGCCTGCTGATGAGCGGGGATATGCACTATACAAATGCTATATATTATTATTATTATTATTCTTGTGTGTTTGTATGAATGCACCTTACCGTTGTAAAACCATTGCTATGTGAACAGCCAGGACAACAAATTTTGATTTATCCATGAGAGATGAATAATTATAGATATTGTCATTAATATTGTCATAATTCTTCAGACTGATTATTTTTTTCCAGAGCTTGATGTTTATCGCTTTCACCCCACCTTATTGCTGAAAGAATAAAAAGTTGTTTCCGCGTCCGATCCGGACATTGGGGATTGCCTTGTTAGTGAGACAACTTCTCGGGCTTTCGGCATATTATTGCGGTAGGGTGGCCAGTTCCTTTCCACGCCGCCTTTACTTCCACAACTAGAAGTTTTCAAGTTAGGTACCCCTTTCTGCTGGGTGAGCAGGAGGGGGCCAAAAAAATCCGTGTCCGGAACGAGGCTCGAACAAGGACTTTCTGCTTCGGAGACGAGCGCACTAACCACTCCGCCACCGCACCCTCTTAAGAAAGAATAATATGAATTATTAAACAAATCAAGAGAAACTACAGGAATAGGAAACTTGTTTAGAACTTACTATTGACCACTCGGATGACTCTCCAGGGTAGCAAGAAGGCCAGGACAAAGATGGAATCGTCGACAGGGAATTGGTTCAGGCCTTTGATGAAGATGAGGTCCACGATAACAGAAGCGACGACAATTACAGCATCAAACACCTGAGGGAAAGAAACGCAGTTGCATTAAGGTGCAAGACCTTTTTTTTTTTGGTCATTAAAGTGTTCTCTAAAAGGCTTATTAATAACCCAAGTAACAAAATGTTATGTAATTCTTACGAAAAATACAATTCAGCACTTATTTATGATTAATTTTGAGTTCTACTTTTTAAAAAGAGCATACTGACATGGTAACAGCTATTATTCAGTACAGGAGAATACATGATGTTGGTCAGATAGAACGAATAACGATAAAGGAATAGAGCAGGACCTACCAGCGACGACAGGTGAGCTGCTTTACTCAACTGATTTGGGGAGTCTAAGCTTAGTGACGCTCTATGTATAAGCACCTATATGTTTTTTTATGGGTAGGTTAATGCAGGGATATTTTTACGTATGTTGTGTTTGTTTATATGTATTTGTCTGCATGTGTTTGTGTGCGTGTGTGTGAGAGAGAGTGTATGTGTGTGTACGTGTATGTGTGAGTGTGTGTGTGTGTGTGTGTGTGTGTGTGTGTGTGTGTGTGTGTGTGTGTGTGTGTGTGTGTGTGTGTGTGCGAGTGCGGGGGAGGAGTGTTCGTGTCTTTGTATAGCCATCTGGAGGTTAGGATATTCATATCATCAGTTTACTTCTTTTCAAATACAACGAAAAATCAACCTCTGACATATTTTGGAAAAAATAAAGACGGCACTAGTTAGGGGTAAACCATATCGACATAAAATTTTTCAGAGCAGCAAATCAATTGAACTGTGAAGTCAATCTACAGGTCGGCAAGGCTCGTTTCTCCTTTTGAGAGTACAATCTATCCTAATTCTGGATTCATTATCACTCTTCTAGTAGCTAGGAGGCCAGTCAAAGAAGATGTAAATGAAATTCATCTCTGTCTGAGAGAGTCGGGGGGACGCCAGACTTAAATAGAAGGTCTGTCTTCCGGAAATGGAAAGGTGAAGAACAGGATGCTGGATGTAATGACGGTTCGAGATAGGAAGAAAAAGTACACAGCGGAGTGCTGTCAGTCGTGGTACCTTTGGGGTTTTTTTTAAGATATTCTTTTCTAAAGTCCTTAAAAGATGAGGGATTAAATTATTTTTGTGAATCGAAAAAGGTTTGCGAGTTCTTGGAACAGGTTATTGGGGTTCATACGGGTGTAAGTTTCTTTGTGGGTGTATGCGTGTGTACGCGTGAGAGAGAGAGAGGGAGAGAGAGAGAGAGAGAGAGAGAGAGAGAGAGAGAGAGAGAGAGTAAGTGAGAGATAGATAGAGAGTAAGTGAGAGACAGATAGAGGGGGTGTGTTTATGTGTGTGTGTATGTGTGTGTGTGCATGTGTGTCTGTTCAAGCTAAAGTAGGGATTGCTGTGTGCGTCAGTGTGTGAGCATGTTATAAACGAGCGTGTCTGATCATTGAAACAACATCGGCAGATCCGTTCCCTATTTTATGGAAAGAGACAGACAGCAATTTTTCAAAGCACTTAACTTCAAGGAAAATGTGAATTTTTCTTAAGTACATTAGATCGAAATCAATCGATAAAATCTTTTTCAGCACACTTGAACATTCCCGCCGGCAGACTAATCTTACTGGCAAGGCCGAAACCCGCCTCCTAAATTATCTACATTGTGTAATGGGGGCGGTACAAACACATCATTGCTGGTAGCCACAGTGCAGCGCCAGCTTTTTTTCAACTACATGTATCAACATGTCTTGCTCAGAGACGCATCCAAACGCTACAATACACGACATTGCTTGACGTTATCTGAGAGCTCAATAACTTCTCAACAGCTGAAATCACGCTTAGAACTCTACTAAGGAACCTGATGTCGCCTGCAATCCTACTTCATAGCCATGACAGCACAACGTCTTTGCAGATTCTCTTTCCACATTTTTTTTGTCGTCGGTGAAATGTTGAAATGTTCTAAGCCCAGACAGCAAAACTTTGAAGAGAGATAAATAAAACAGTTTAACCTTTCTTTAAAATATTGTCCCTCCATTATGTATCTTTTTTCATCTTCTTCTGTTTTCAACATTCAGATTTTGAATTTCAACAAAATTTCTTTAGAACATACAACCGATATTATAAATTAAGAAACTGAAATTTTTAAAGATTCAAATATTGTTGAGTTGCCTGACGATATGTGTTCTGAAGCGGGGATTGCTATCCCATTTATTAAATGGGCCACAGCAATATTTGTCCACAAAGATTTAGGTTAATGAAGCAGAAACTTCAAAAACGTGAAATATCGAATGTGTTAAAAACAAGTTCGGCTATACCTAAGTAAAGAAGGGTCTATATGATCAATAAGAGTTTTCCCGCAACGCTGGTTTGAAGGATTTGGACAGAAAGATTTTAGGAATGAGATTAAGATGGCGGTCGGGATAAACGCAGAGCAGAAAGATTAAGGTAAAAAAAGGTTTAAAGCAGAGGGGGGGAAAACCTTTATATCATTGAACAAGTATATCTGTTATAAGCACAGTGAAAGATTGTACCAAAAGAGGTGACAAACAAAAACAGTGCCCATCCTTAACATCTACAGATGTCAAAAACAATCTATTGACTAATATCAAACGGAGACCAAAGTAAACATTGTAAGATCATGAATTTTATGAAATAAGAAGAGTTGAAGCTGAAATGAATGGGTGACAAAATTTTATGAATATGAAAAACACGTAGAAAAAGAAGGACGCAAAAAATAGGAACGGAAATAGGAAAAGAAGGAGAAAGATGATACTGATAGATAGATGGATCAATGGATGAATATTTAGACAAATAGACAATAGATAGATACTAAAGTATAAAACATAGGTTTGGAATGGAAAAGTATATACTAGATAAAATGAATATAATTTTGAAGACAATACTGTCCCTCCTTCCTTTTACTTCTTTTCACCAATCATCCCCCTGTTCTTTCTTTCTCTTCTTTGTCTTCTAACCTTTTCTCTACCTTTCCGTCTGCCCCTCTCTCTCTCTGCCTCTG